ACGTTTGGTTACCTGCATTGTAACCAAAATCTCTACAGGGATTATGTGTGCAAGTGAAACAAAACAGCATTTGGAGAAAGTCAATAGTTTTTAATTTTAAATATCACGACATAATTAACAAAGAAATTATTATTAATCAATTAACTTAAACATGCACTTATCAAGTTTCAACTTAAAATCTTTCAGCTTTATGTCAAATCAAATACATAAATCATAGCAAGTATTATTATTAGTTAGATTATAGGTTAGTCAATTATAATTTCTGATCACATGCATAGGTTTAAATTTAAAAATTGTATCAAGTAACTAATAAAAACCATATATAGTGTAATAAAAACAATTAATGTAATATGTCACAAAACAATATTTTTTTTTTTTTAATTTATTGTGAAATGTTGTAACTTTTGCATTATGTTTGAAAAGTATGGCATTTTATTTCAAAAATTGGAGTTTTTTAAGGGATTTTCTTGTTTCATTAGATGAACTGACCACAAATCTACTGCCCAAACAAGAAAATCTCCCTAACAAAAATCACCATGAAATCTTCACATACATTGCACAGCACAACTCTGAAAAGCTTGATAATTTATTTATTAAAAAAAAAATGGAACAAGGGAAATGTTACGTGGATTCGGTCGGGTTTGTATTCGTTAGATCATCATGTAATCGTCGGGAATAGTTGATCTAACGGTTACAAATTCCGACGAAATTGTTCCGTAACGAGACCATAGTATCTCCCGTGGAGGAAAAATATGCAAGAACAACTAATTAAACAAGCAATTCCTCCATTTGCTTCATGATTGCATTGATAAGGAAAAACAGACTTTAAACCCCAACCCAACCTATACACAGATATACCTTCCCACCAAAATCACCCATTTTATCCAAATCATTCACCAAAATAGGATTAATCAAGAAAACCACAGCCCACATACTAAATACTAAAATTATCCCAACCTCCAAAAGCACAAAAATTAAAAAGCGGTAATCCCGGGCCCAGCCCGAACAAAAACCTCAAACCCTAAGCAAATATATGCTGAGTTCGGGCCCTCCGCTCCCATCCGGGTTCATCATGTAGAAGGCCTCCGAGTCCTTGCTCCCCACGACCCTCTCGAACCGGGCCCTCATGTACATCATTTCCCCGTCCGGGGCCGGCCCATCTCCCGGCGGCTCGGGAATCACCCCGGCCCCCATCGAGATCGGGCCGATGGCCTCCAGAACCTTCCACTCCTCGGGCCCGCAGTCCCGCCTCATCGCGTACCCGCCTTTCTTCCCGTTGCAGTAGGTTCGCCAGATGGGCTCCTCAAGCAGCTTGAAGTAGTTCTTTTTTTCGGGCTTGCGGTCGCACTCCAGCGCGACCCGCACGAGCCCGGACGCCATCTCCTTCACCAGCGCGCTCGTCGGCGTGGCCAGCTCCACCAGGAACGCCGGGCCCTGCTTGAAATCCTCCTGGAACGCGAAGTGGACGTGGCCGCGCCGGTGGCCGAAGAGGGTCCCGACGACTTTTGACCCGAGGTTTGTAGAGATCCCGGACCGGGCCCGGCCCAGAGTGAGGGCGGACCGGAGCTTGGCGACGGCCATGGTGGGGAGCTTCTTTTTCCGCGGCGGGTGGGGAGATCCCGTCGAGAGGGAGTGCCGGAGGGTGGGAATCGACGGCGGCTCTGGGTTTCGGCTGTGTTGGTCGGAGGCGGCGGAGGAATCGACGGCCAGGATCTCCTTGGTGTCATCGTCCTGCTCGTCCTCGACGATTTTCTTCTTGAAGTATCTTCTAGAGAAGGAGAAGGAGTCGTGGGGGTTCTTGGCCGTGATTGTTTTCATGGTCCCAGGTGAATACAGGCCGGCAAACTGGACTTCAGGGCAAGAAAATGGTGAAAATGAGGCTAAAGGTAGGAGCTTTTTACTCTGGTTTTTGTGAAAAAAAAAAAAAAAAAATTGAATGATTTGTGAATCTGGTTTTGGGGTGAACAAATGGGGGGGTTTTTTAATGGTGGGGAGGATTTGTTATTCTTTAGAGATCCTGCAATAAGAGATAATACTGACAAAAGAAGGTGAGCAGACACACCAAACTTAATAGTCAAGAACAAATCAGAGGGAATGACAAAGAGAAAAATTGGGGAGAGAGACAAGAAAAAGCACACACACACAAGGACAGGTAAAGGGCAGAGAGAGAGAGAGAGAGAGAGAGGGTACTGTGTGTGTATTGTGGAGTTGAAAGGGAAAGAAAAGAAGTCCTAGTGGGATCTAAGGAGACAATGTGGGATTATTATTTTTTATTTTGTTTTATATAGGTTTTGATGGTTATTTTTAAATTTTCAAATGGTGGGGACTGATTGGTAGAGATCAATAGAGACGAGAAATGTTACGGTCTCGTTACAGAATTATTTTGTCGGGTTTATAATCGTTAGATTATTATGTAACTGTCGAGGATAGTTAATCTAACGGTTATAAATTTCGACGGAATAGTTCCGTATCGAAACCGTAACATCTCCCCAATAGAGACATGGGGGAGTTGGAATAGTGAGAAATAGGCCTTGGACTAATTTAAAGAATTGGGCCGGAGAAACAGTTGAGATGTAGGTAGAACCACACCAGACCAGCCTAGAGAATAAGAAATAGGTTGATTAATACATAAATAATTAGAAATGAAAACAATCCTTGTAATTATTGTTGGAACATCACCTATTACCAATCTCATTATATTATTAATAAAGAAAATGAGTTTTAGGTTATGAGTTTTGTAAGTTACTCTTTCTATTATTTTTAGAACTATAAACTTCATTAAAATGAACAATAATTACACAATAGAAAAATAGCTACTCAACGGACTACATCA